GCGAGGCCACAGGCAGCCTGGAACCGAGTGACGAGGGAAGATCCGAGGTTATATACCCACTAACCACTTCCGTTTCAGATCCCAAAGCTCATACAGGATCAACTTACCATAAGCTAGTTCTAAGTGTTGAGTTTTCTTTAGCTAGCAGAGCAAGACTGGTGTGTATACATGTATTAAAAAGCTAATGCACTTTCCCTTGTCTCAGAACAGTTACACACTGGAACCGAGTGACGAGGGAAGATCCGAGGTTATATACCCACTAACCACTTCCGTTTCAGATCCCAAAGCTCATACAGGATCAACTTACCATAAGCTAGTTCTAAGTGTTGAGTTTTCTTTAGCTAGCAGAGCAAGACTGGTGTGTATACATGTATTAAAAAGCTAATGCACTTTCCCTTGTCTCAGAACAGTTACACATGATCCTTCCTCTGCCGTTGGACTTCCTTTCCTTCTGTGCTGTAAATATGGATTGTATGATGAAACACTATGAAATTTGTGGTGCAATACATTTTGGATCAAAGCCCTACTCTTGATTTCGTTTTCTTTATAGTCCTGGTTATCTCCCTGGGGGATGCTGTAGCTATTTAAAACCGAGTTGTAAAGCAAGACCCAGACCCCACCTCCTGCCCGGGGTCAGGGGGCTGTGCCAGCAATGAGGCAAGTGCTGCTGCCTCCAAAAACCATCTCACCAGGGGCAGCTGCTGCTGCACTTTGAGCAGCTGCTGGAAAGGAGGACTGGGTGGAGTTGCTGGTTGGTGCAAAGGGCAGTGAGCTCTGCCCGACATGGTGCCACCAAGCCCCAAGGGAAGGGCACAGCCACTGACCTGGGGACAGCCATGGCTGGAGGAGTTGTGTCTTGCCTGGGCAAACCACAGGTAAAACATCTGATGTCACTTATGTATTAGTGTGTTCTTTGCAAGTTCTGAAGTGTCATCTTGACCTTCCAGCATGGACAAGAACATAAAAATCAGCGCCAGGGTTATGATGTGTTCTAGTCACTGCATCTTAGAAGTCTGGATTGGAAGATCTGAGCTGTGAGGACACAGCTGGATTTGGGGACAGATTCTGTAAGGAGTGAAGGGCAGCTGTGCACAGGTGGATGCTCAGCTTGGCCTTGGCTGTTGCTCTCCTGCTTTGGAGTAAGTGTCAGATTTACGAGTCAGCTAAGAACAAGTTCTGCAACGCACGTGATCCAAGAACTTTATTGATGCAGCAGGCACTTCACTTTACATTAAACCAAGCCCAGAGTCCACCCAGTCCTTCGAGCACACCTACAAACCCTCTGCCCTCACCACCTTCACCCTCGGCTGCAGCATCTCACGTCGGCCTGACACAGCTACCTCTGAACTAAGCAGGACACACAGGATCTGGTATTGCCACACCTGGGTAAAGCAGCATCTGAAATACCTGTTCACTTACAGTAGTAGGAGGCAGGAGTGTGCCTTCTCTCTGCCTGTTAGGGAAGGGAGCAGGAGAATGTCTTGGCTCCTGTACGTGATAGTCGGAATATGCAGGAATACCTTTACTCTTCCCCCACCTTTAAGGTTAAAAGCATTCCAAGAGGAGGTTACTGTAGGGTTTCAGTAGATTGCAATCTCTAATTAAGATGGACCAGTGTAATTTCAGCTCACTCCTTCTTCTGAGTCCAAACCTGATTGTTGTCTGTCCAAGTTAACAGTCTTTAAACAGTCTTTCTTGCTGTGAGAACTCTGATGATGGAGCCCAGTCCTCCTACTGCCAGTGCCTGTGGGACAGGAGAGAGGGGACAGAGTCAGCATCCCACACAGAACAGCCCGAGGTGCTGAGCCACAGCAGGGTGCATGGCTCTTCGCCAAAACCTGGAAAATGTCATTCTGCAAAGCCTAACCATGTTCTGGACCTTGGGGATGGCAGTGCTGCCCATCACTGACAAAGCAGAATGTCTCACCTGGGCGGGAGAGGAGGAGGAAGGACTCATTTCAGTTTCCTTCTGAAGTCCAGAAGATGGAGGTGATTATGAAAACCTAAATCCTAAAGCTGACTGCTGAGAATGAGGTGTTTACTCTGCAGCTACAGTTAAGGTAGAGCCCAGAGGTACCACAGTGTGACACGAGTGCAGTGACCAGCAGTGTGCTGGGGACAGGTGACTGATGGATGCCAAGTACCTGCTCAGGGCAGAACCTGTGGGTGCTGCAGGCAGGTAAATGCTCCTCAGCTCCCAGACCTGCTACAGGGCTGACAGCCCTTTAGCGGACAGACACTGGTACCACCACCTAGCAGCTGACTGAGCAAGCCACACGTCCTACCGGTAGTACCACAAAGCACAGCACAAGGCTGCAAACCTGCCCAGCCACCTCAGCCCTGCCCTGTTCCTTCACAGCAAAGAGGAGGAGAAGCCTGACGTGTGCCTACACGCTCTGAGCAGCACCACTGCAGCCAGGGTGGTGTTGTGTAACCTCCCTCACTGGCAGCACCCGCCCACGGTTACCTAAAAACACCTCCGTGCAAACAACAGGGGCAAGAGAAACCCAAAACCAAGCAGAAACATGTTCTTTGCTTGTCAAGGCTCTGCCAAGCTGGTGACAGCTGCCAATAGCTGGAGTCACACTGCACAAGTTCTGTTTTTGAGCTCTGCACCTTGTGAAAATGACACCCGTATCAGCAGCAGCTGCTGTGCTAGGGCCGTGGTGCTGCAGCATTCCCAGGGATCAGTTTTCCTAGGAGGAGCACTGACAGCCAGGGCTGCAGCTAAAGCCCCTGCATGCGGGGAAGGTTTCACTTGGATTCCTGCCCGGGGGCAGCGGCACCCAGCAGCTGCCTCAGGGCTGTACCTCAATCCCACTGCGAGGGAAGGAGGTTCCACAGGCAGCTGTGACACATCCCACATTCCCCATGTCACAGCAGGCACTCCACAGAAACACGGGAGGCCTGATGCCAGTGGAATGTTTTGGAGACCTCGAACGCCTCTGCTGGGCAAACCAAACAGGTTTGCTGCCCCGTGACTCAGCTGTGACACATGTGCTGCAGGTAGGGCTGCGTGAGGGCAGCGTGAGGCTTCCTCCAGCAGCCACTGCCCTGCACGAGCTCCCCTCTCCCCAGGGCTGAGGGTAAGGTTTGAATTACAGGCAAAGGCTTTGTGCATCCAAGCTCCAAGAGGCCAAAGCTGAAAGGAAAGGAACACTGCTCCTCAGGGATGAGCCATCACCTGCTTGTCTTGCAGCTCTCCCAAGCCCCTGCCCAGGACCCTGCGAGTTACTGAGCCCAGAGTGCCCCAAACACATACCTTTTCATGCCACTGAAGTAATATTGCACTGCTGTTTTCTGTTGGCTTCTCAAATCCTTTGTAAATATACTTCATTAACAAGTCAACACCATTTCTGTCTAAGGAGTTCACTGCTTGTTCTATTTCACTGCTTTTAAAAGACGTGAGGACTTTAAGTATCGTTCCCTGGGCCTGCTCCTGGGAGACAAGGAAAGGAGGGAGATGTGAACCAGCACAGCTGGGAACGGTCCCAAGACCTGTTCGACAAGAGGTAG